ATGCGATTCTAAAAATTCCCACAAGCCTAGAAATGAGTTTGGGGGCACCAATTGACACTCTTTTAGGAGTTTACGGCCATGAGAAATGTTCTATGGCCGTAAACTCTCAATTGTGGGGTTTTGATGTGTTTAAGGTCCTTAAACTATTTTTGGTTGGTCCTATGATTTATTCCAAGGCTTTTGGTGGTGTTGGATGGCTTTCTAACACCTTAGAAGTGAGTTTACACCCAAGTTTAAGGAGTTTACGACCCAAGGACATGCCTTGGCCGTAAACTCACACAAACCCCTCAAAAATTATGTTCAAGGTGTTCTAGGTCCATTACCAATATTCTACAAGTCATATCTAAGTCTTGTTTGTGATTTGGAAGGGTTTAAGGTCATGAAAACCCCATTTACATGAGTTTACGGCCCAAGCTTGTTCCTTGGCCATAAACTCCTTCAAATGACTCAAAATCCAAGATTAAAATGTTACAAGTCCATTCCATGATGCCATCTAGCCATATCTAAGGTCCAATTGTGTTTAGGAAGGGTTTTTGTGCTCCAAAACCCATGTTATATGAGTTTACGACCTAGGATGGTTCCATGGCCATAAACTCATGAATATGGTCCTAATCCATGCTTTGAACTCGAATTTGAAGGCTAGGGATGTTACATAACTAGCTAGGGGAAGTACCTCAAAGATTTGGAGCCTAAAATTGACGATTTGGACCTTTAAACTTGGATTTAGGAGAGAGGTTAGAGAGAGTAGATAGAGGAAGAAAAAGCTTCAAATGAGTGCTTAGATCACTTTAAATAGTGTCTAAGTTTTGGACACGGTGGAATTCTACCTGATACCGGCATTAAACGAGGCTTTTGGTCGCACCCGATTAAGTTACCGTCACCTGGCAGGAATGTTTCTAAACTTTTTGGAAGAACCATTTTGGGCTAATTTCATGAGTTCCTAAATGGTTTGGACACTCATTCAATTATAATATAAACATATAAGTTTAATTAGTTTAAACCAAAAGGAGAACGAAACGAATCGACTAACGGCGAAATCTCACGGGTAGAACAAGTTTTCGACGATGGAAAACTTCGGGTTGTTACAGTATTGGTCTTCTGGGTCAGAAGATGAAGATGATGTTGCTGAACCTCACTATTACTACATGGTGAGCAACAATCCACCAGGTTGAACCATCGTTCAACAGGCACTTTGTACTTCGGAGCTAGAAACAATAGGGTATATTGATAGTGCTTGCTCCATGCACATGATGGGGCGGAAAGATTTCCTTCAAGACTTAAAGCTTACTCCAAATGTTGGTTACGTCACATATGGAAATAACTCAAACTCTCAAATTCATGGTTAGGGAATCCTCACCAATGGAAACTTGTCTATCTCAAATGTGGCTTATGTAGCTGATCCGAAACACAATTTGATAAGTGTTGCTCAGCTCACTGATTTAAATCGTTGTATGGAATTTTGCAAAACGTACAACTATGTAATCACCGAAGACCGGAAAGAGTGCTTAATCAAGTCACTTCGCAACAAGAACATGTACTCGCTCGACATCAACCTGATTATTGGCAAACCGCAACTCTGCCTTCTCTCCAAAGTTGTTCCTAACATCAGTTGGTTATGGCATCGAATGCTCACTTATCTAAACTTCTGGTACATGAATGATCTTGTATCTAGCGAAATGGTAAGAGGTCTACCTCTTCTCAAATTCGAAAATGATCATTGATGTGCTGCTTGTGAGTGTGGTAAGCAATCAAAGAAGGGTCATCCTGTTATCATCGAAAAATCCATTTCGGAACCATTGGAGCTTCTACACATTGATCTTTGTGGACCATCCACTATAGAAAGTCTTCGTTATAATAAATACATTCTTGTGATTGTTGATGATTTTACACGGCTCACTTGGGTCATCTACCTTCGTCTAAAATCCGAAACAGCCTTAGAGCTCATCAATTTTATAAAGGGAATAGAAGTTCTCATCAAACTCCCATTTAGGAGAATCCGAAGTGAGAATGGCTTGAAATTCACTAATTCCACCATTAAAAAGTTTCTCACCGAAAAAGGAATTGACCACCACTTCTCAACTCCTTATACCCCTCAACAAAATGGTGTAGTCGAACGACGAAATATAACTCTTGTTAAAGCTGCTCGATCCATGCTGAACTTCGCAAACCTGCCACTCTACCTTTGGAATGAAGCAGTATCTACTACCTGCTTCACTCAAAATCGGATTATCATCAATCGACGCCTCAACATGACACCGTACGAACCAATGAATGGTCGGAAGCCAATGATCTCGTTTCTACATGTCTTCGAATGCAGGTGCTTCATCAAGAACAACCGAGATCGCCTTACCAATTTCAAACTAAAGCTGATGAAGCCATCTTCCTTGGGTACTCCTCAAAACTGAAAGCTTATAGAGTTCTTAACCGGAGAACTCGTGTTCTGGAAGAAAGCTTTAATATTACTTCCGATGACAACTTCTTCTAGAATTCTGGCCCAACTCACATCACCACTCGCATCATGGAGTCCAATGCTCCTCCGCCAGGATGTCTGGACACTCAAACTATCCTAGAAGTTGATTTTGAAACACTCTTTGGTCTTCCGAAAAAACTCTTGATTTGGAATCTCGATTAAGACCAAACCTCATTCCAATCCCCTCTTCGGAAGTTCCTATCTAACAAAATGTCTCCGGTCCGATCCCAAGCCTCCCTCCATTTGATTCCAAACCATTTCAACCTTCTCAGGTTGAGGGGGAGAATGTTCATCCCTATCTTGAATCAAATGTCGATGGCTTCCAAGATGCAACTGCTGAGTTTGATGACTCTAATCCTCTGAACAATGATTAAAATGAAAACTTCTTTGAGTTTCCTTTTGATGATGATTTCAATCTTTCTAGTTCAAAAGTTCGGGGGGAGCATCATCCCAACATTCAAACCATTCAGGGGGAGCAAATCAATTACACTATTGACATAGGATCAATGGTTGCACAAGAACTACCACAATTACATGATTGGACAAAGGATCATCCTCTGAACCAAGTAATCGGTAACCCCAATGTTGGGGTACAGACTCGTTCTGCTACAAGTGTCCAAAATGAATGCCGTTTTCAGCATTTATATCCCCCAAAATCCATCAAGAAAGCATTGGAGCATGCTGACTGGATTACAGCTATGCAAGAAGAACTGGTTGAATTTGACTGAAATTAAGTTTGGACTCTCGTGCCTCCTCCTTAGGATCATCCCATTTTCGGTACAAGATGGGTATTTCGCAACAAGCTAGATGATGCAGGAGTAATTATTTGAAATAAGGCAACACTGGTGGCAAAAGGAATTACTCAGATTGAAGGCCTCGACTATGATGAGACCTTTGCTCCGGTTGCACGTCTTCAAGCTATCAGAATCTTTCCTGCTTATGCTGCTCACAAAGGCTTCAAAGTTTACCAAATGGATGTTAAAAGTGCATTTCTTAATGGTGAACTTGACTGAATTATACCTTCAACAACCCCCCGGATTTGTTAATCTCTCCTTTCCGAACCACTATTACAAACTCTGGAAGGCTGTCTATGGACTCAAACAAGCTCCTCGGGCATGGTAGGAGACCCTCACTGATTTTCTCAAACGCTCTGTTTTTCAAAGAGGTATTCTAGACCATACATTATTCCGAAGATCAAATCGTAAGCATCTCATGCTAGTACAATTTTTTATGGATGACATAATTTTTGGATCTACGGATCAATCTTTGGTTGCTGACTTTTCTAAACTTATGGTTAACCGATTCCAAATGAGCATGAATCGGGAGTTAAACTGCTTTCTTGGTCATCAAGTCAAATAGAATTACAGAGGAATGTTCATTCACCAAGAGAAGTCACTACTAGAAAAACAGCCTTTTACGACGCTCATTGCGCGTCGTAAAAGGCTCAGACGACGCGCAAATGCGCGTCAAGGAAGGCCCTGTCATGAAGAGAGACGACACGCAGACGACGCGCATTTACGATGCGCAATTACGACGCGCATTTACGACACGCAATGCGTATCAAGGAAGGCCCTGTCATAAAGGAATACGACACGCATTCACGTGTCGTAACCTTACGACGCGCGTGTTAATGACACGCAATGCGTATCAAGAAAGCCCCTGTCAAGAAAGGCCATGTCATAAATGAAGATGACACACATTTTTGCGTATCGTAAATTTAAATGTTTAAAAAAAATTTATATATTTATTAATTTTTAAATTAAATTTGCATTTAATTTCTCATAATAGAAATAAAATATCATATACAAAAAATACAATCCATTGCATAATATAAAATAAAATTTCATACTCAAAAAATAAAATAAATTGCACAAATTATAATGTCATACAAAGAATCATTCAAGTGTTAAACAAAAATAATACATTGCTAACATGGGTTATACATTCCTATAAAACTAACAAATAATCATACAACTCTGTTTCTTACTGGAAAGGAATGCCAAACATGATTACAAGTCTTCCTTAATCTTGATTACTCACCTAGCTACTTAAGTAGAATGCTGTTGTTGAGAAGGTTACCTAGCAACAGAGAAAAACACAACACCTCTCCCACAATCACAACATCATTTACAGAAAAAGGGTTGTCAATTACTTTCATTAATACTTTCATTCAATCACAAAAATATTAAATAAAAGGGTGAAAAAATAACTTACTTTTGATAAGTTGATCTCCCTTAGAGCAAACACAGCTAAAGCATTGAACAAGACCCTATTTCAAAATTTTGTAAATAAAAAAATCATGATACCTAATATTGGAATACAAACTTTGAGACATGAATTAATACGAGTAGATTAACCTGGATACATAGGAAGTAAAGATGGAATGTGCCAGAACTCCGGGGGCATTGGTACCTCATCATGCCAAAACAAGTTTATTTTTTTCGGAAATAGTGAAGCCAAGTAACATAATACCTGAAAATCCCATGAAGAGCAAAGTAATTATCTATTGTTATTAGTAATAATCCCATTTCTAGACCCTATAGGAAATAATATTCCAGTAAGTGTTCCCCAATGGACGCCATCTTATCCGACCTAATTCTGCTAAATGTAGAGGAAGAGGAAACTTGTGTCCTGGATATACAGGGTCCAGAATCTTGGGAGATACACCAAATGGGATATCGAATCTGACTTCAAATGGTATTGTTGTTGCATTTGTGAGTATGACCTGGCATCAAAATAGAATCTTTTTAGAGAAAATAGCTAGAAACCATTACAAGTGTTCTAAAAGTAACCTCAATCAAGGATTATGTAACATTGATATTGAGATTCATTGAAACCAATTATTATTATTAATGGTGACAAGTGTGCGAAAATTTTGAACTTTTAGTAGGATAATGTAAAAATACCTACCTCCATTGCTTTCAATAATGATTCATCCTGAAAAATGCATAATGCTAAAGCAGAAGAAGCATTGAGGTTTTCCAGAATAGGAAAATAATAAGTAGGATAGAATGGCACAAACAAGTTTATCTGCAGGAAGTCACACATCAGTCAGTCAGTTATGTGAAATGTGAGATGTTGAGTGAAAATGAGAGAGAAAATGTTGACAGGTGACCTGGAAGTCGACTAGTTTAATTTCCAAGAGATCATACAAATCTTGAATTTGAGTTCCTTCTAGAAGCTCACTTGAAGAGTTGTCATCTATTAAATTCCTCATGAATTGAGAAGGTACGTTGATATCCGGTGCAAAACAGCTAACATCATGATTGGATGAAAAGGTGACAGCTATTAATCCAAGTACCTGTGTATGTTAAGGTTTGAAGTTAATACAAATACAAATAATAAGAATGTGAACCTCGTATGACAATTTAAAAAGAAATCAATACCAATTTATGTATCTCTGACTTCCCATTCTCCCAGGGAATAATTATCTTGATGTTTATTAAACTAATATCCCACATCATTCTCTTCCGACCTGACAACATGTATCTACAAAACAAAACAAGAGAAAATACATATGTGTAGTTTAAATACAATGTTGCTTGCTACTAATCCCATTTCTAGACCCTAAAGGAAATAATATTATTCCAACAATAAGATCATAGGAGAAGACATACTCGGCTTTCGATGTTAGACGTGACTTCATGTCTTTTATCCCATTAAGCGAGTTTAGGACCTCTAACATGAAACCAGTTTCTCAAAAACCTCATAAGTTAATCATATAGAATCTATTAGTTGCGTTTCATATTAATGGAATAATGAATTAAATATCTACAGCTAAAGAATACATCTACTTTGAGACATGTAACACTTAAAAAATCATGCAAGTACTTCAAAACATGTAAACTAGAATAACAGTCACCCTTCCTTCATGAGATTGAAAGGAAGCCAACACAGTATATAACTCCACAAAATTAACAAGATAGGTTGGATCACATGTCATTTCAATCGGCTCAAGCAAAACCTAAAAACAAAGTTAAGGGTCATTGTCATTATCAGAAGTTTACAGCACAAGATATTTATAAAAAAAATGCAAGTTGGGTACCTCCCAAATCATGCACTACATTGTGTCTTCAAGGCAGCATCTTCATACCCTGAGGTAAACATTATAAAACTTACTTTTTTTACCCTTTTCACATAAATAAATTTGTGTGAGGAGAGTAACATAAAAACTACTTACTCTTTAAATACTTATCATGCTCATCAGCTTCAAATTGCTCATTGTTGAAATACTTCACAGTCTAAAGGAGAAAAAATAAGTTGTAAGATAAAGAAAAAATAACGAAAGGTAATTGTAAAGAAGCAATAATATGTTGTTACCCTTAAAATCCAAACAAATATTGGGGAGAACTATCCAAGCTTAGACGTGATCAAGTGCATCCTACCAAGAAGCTAAAAAAATATATAAACAAATTGTTAGAACAAAGACAATCGATCACCTAGTCCACTTATCAAGAAGATGAAATACTAAAATAACACCAAACTTTAGAAAAAACTGGAAATCAAAGCACTTACACATCACTAAATATGAATATGATGGAATGGAATCACAAATGTATGGAATGGAATCATGGATTCTTGTAACATGATAATGAAAAAGGGAAATATGCATGTCCTTCGGGGTTTAAAGGCGATGGTGTGAAAACTTGTGAAGGTAAATAAATTTTATATTTTTGAAATAATGAAATGGTGGAAGGGTTTTAGAAGGGTAATTTGGTAATTAAGATGAATTATTGAACACAGATGTTGATGAATGTAAAGTGAAGAAAGCATGTCATTGTCCAGAATGCAGTTGCAAGAATACTAGGTTCGTGGAGACATTTGCTAATGTGGCTGAGAAAACTGTGTTGGCTGACTTTGACCAGGGGGCATACATTGTCCCCGTGGACGAAATTGCCCTTACGGAGGTGGAACCAAAAATCGAAACTGCAGCAAAGTGAAACCATCAATATTCACCTATAAACATCTATTGAACAATCTATCAAGATTCAAGATCCAATTAATCATTAATCACCTCTTCCAGAGCATCAATGGCGGCTGGAACAAAATCCTTCAACTCCTACTTCCACAACAAAGGGAAAAAACATGTAATTTACTCTATATTTGATTAAAAGAATTTGAAAAACTCTTATAAACATATCTATTTACTCTGTATTTGATTACAGAAAAGTTGCCATCAATAACAAAAAATGTAATTTCACACATGAAAATTGTCAAAATCATAAACGTTTACCTGGAACAACATAATTATTCAAAGCCAATATGCATGATGTTGACTGGCTATGATAATGAATAGTATTTGCACAGACTACAAGAACTCCACCAATTCGAGAGGGCACAACAAGAAGCTTATTTGAAATCATTTGGAAGATTCTGATACACACAACATATGAAATTCAGTAGAAACACAAGAAAACGAAAACTGTAACTATATAGTGACTGATTCAAAAACATATTTTCAAGAACTGGAGGAGCGACTTGAACAGTGGAAGCAGAATCATTGATAGAGAAAGCATGAATTGGCTCATCCACATATTTCTTAAAGCTATCAATAGAAGCTATATATTGGTATTTGCTGTTATGAATGAAGCCACAAACCTATAATTAATACATGAACTCAATTGTTAGTCACATATTGCATTCCTTTGTATGTGTGTGTGAAAGAGAGAGAGAGAGATAGAGAGAGAGAGAGAGAGAGAGAATGGTTAGAACCTAGTAAAAATGAGCTTTTTCACACATGTATTATAGCTATCTATCATCCAAATCTATCTCTGGGAAAACTTCCAAAAGTGCTAGAACCTATTTTTCTCCTTTTTTACTAATATCATTATTTTTGCTTTCAATATTTAGCGGAATGCAGCATCTAATGTCAAATACTCGAATATATGACCTACTAATTCCTTTGAGATTTAAGCCTCTCCACAGGCCATAAAAATAGAAATAAACTCAAGTATACGACCTGTATCGTCCTTTGAAGGCCATGTTCTAATAACTTTTCGTGTTTTGATAACAATAACAAGAACATATACAGTCTTTAGGACAGATCTTGACTTTGAGATCTAGAATTCTTTGGTGTTGGATCGATAAATGCACATCTCAAAACATCCAATGTTGGTTCAGTGTCTGATTCTAGGAGATGATAGAGATTCTTACAATTCGATCTCTTAGTGGCTCCACACTGATATCACATAGTTGATTTGGTTCCTGTAAACACATTAAACATTTATTATTATCTAATAATAATTTAAAGAAAAAGTATTTATTAGATGATAGACATACCACATCAAGAGGCTCAATGAGTGTTGTTTCCAACCTGGACTCTGAAACACTAGGTCTATATAGGTTTTCAATGAATGGCACCCTTAGATCCCAGAAAATTATCTTAGTTCCTGTAAAATGTTAAAAATTATCATGGAAGAAAGTTAAACTCAGATCTTGGATATAACTAATACCTGACCATGATATGACAGATTTTGAAAAATGTTCTCACCTATGAACTCACAAATCCGGTCAATGGCTGCATTAATATCTTTCCTACTTCAATTAAAGCTTTCTTTTCTCAAGTTGTCATATGTAGACCTCTCTGTGAAATACATCCTTAGATATGATTATGAATATTTCATTTTTAGACGGTATAAACATAATAATAATTTTTAAGTAAAATAATGTTCACTCTAGACTACACGTACTATTGGATTTCCCTTGCTTATGCTTCCTTATCCAGCGTTCCCAAATGTTATCCTTTTCCTGAACAGATGCCCCTTTCATTCAGTTCTGTTTTAGTAGTTTTATTACAGTTTTCTGGTTTTATGGTTTTGTGATTTGATCTTACCTACAATTGTAGTTGCTTCACAAAACCAAGATTGTCTTTGAAGAACTCAACACTTTGATCATAGGAAGCAAGCATGCCCACGTTCAATGCCATTGCCCTAACTACAGTTTTATGATGAATGTAATACTAAAAATCAGAAATCGGCATACTAATTTCATAAATTGAACCCAGAATTGCGTTTTGAAACTACTGGATTGCAGAAATAAACTCATTCCAGGTACCGATTTGGAACTATCTCGACTCCGTACCGATTTACAATCTGGGAATCGTTTGGAATTCTTTCGTACCCCGATTGGGTACGAATCCATTTGGTACGGGGTTCGTAGCCATCTGAGCGAATTTGATACTATGGGAAAAACCCTAACTAACCACAAATTAATCGGTTTTTACTGAAAAAAAGGCAGAAATCGAGAGAGTTGGAGTTTACCTGTATAGGCGCTTGGTATGGTACCGCCGATCCACCGTCTTCTTCTACCACCAGTGTTAGTAACCGGTACGTCGAGAAAGCATCGATACAGTAGAACCGTAGCCGATGGGGAGGAAAACTGATGAATTGATGAAGGAGGTGTAATAGGTATTTGATATAAGAGATGGTGAGGGCAACATAATTTTTTATGGGAACCATGTGTGGTCGCGAAGGGGCTGAAATCAATCAGACACAAGAACACCACCACATCTTCCCCTTCGTTGCTCTCTTTTTCAGGGTCCAAGTAGATCATTCTCATTGGCGACGATGGAGGCGAGAATAGTGGTGGTTCGAGAATAGTGGTGGTCTGAAGATTCGATGACGGTGTGTTTGTGGAGACAAGGGATAAGAAGGTGGGGGTTTAAAAAATTGATCCATAATTTTAGTGTGAGGGTCGATTTGGAAGAAATCTCAAACCCTTAACCTTAAACATGATGTGAAGCAATTGATCCATAATTTGAGGCTAGTAGAGGGAAATGAGAGGTGGAGATGAGGGAGAAGAAGGTGGGGGTTTAAAAAATTTGGGGATTTCATTTTCCCTCCGAGACGCGCGTTTCTTAAAAAAAATATAAAGTGACATTCACAGACGACGCACAAGCGTCTTCCGTGTTTTTAATATTTTTACATGAGACACTAATTTAAGGGCACTCGGTAATACGCGACCTAAATCCTTAAAACTATTGAAGAGGTGACACTTTTTTAATGTCGCTCTTTAATGCGTAACATAAATCAAAGAGCGTCGTGTTTTGCACGTCGTAAAAGGGTCTTTTTCTTGTAGTGAGTACATTTCAGAACTCTTTAAGAAATACTCAATGGACACTTGTGCCTCTGCCAAGGTACCAATGGGCTTCGGACACAAGATCTTTGCCGACCCTTCCGGTGCTCCTGTTGATGAAAAGAAGTATCGTGGAATGATTGGATCTCTACTCTATCTAACAACAATTCGTCCAGATATAATTTTTTCCACATGCCTATGTACTATATTTCAAGTCAACCCAAAGATTTCACATCTTTTGGCTGTGAAACAAATTTTCTGATACCTTAAAGGTACCAAGATTCTCGAAATCTGGTATCCAACAAATGAGAGCTTCCTACTCCAAGCCTATTCAGATTCAGACTATGGTGATCTTCAACTTGATAGAAAAAGCACTTCGGGTGGTTATCAATTCTTAGGTGGTCGTTTGGTCAGGTGGTCATCCAAGAAACAGAACGGCATTGCACTCTCTACAGCCGAAGAAGAATACATTTTTTCTGCCAGCTGTACATCTTAAATTATGTGGATGAAATCTAAACTCCTAGATTATGGTTACCGCTTTCAACGCATTCCTATCTGTTGTGACTCTCAAAAGCCATTACGATTTCTCACAATCCAATTCAGCACTCAATGACCAAGCACATAGATACAAGGTACCATTTCACAGAAGATCATGTACTTAATGGTAACATTGAACTCATTGTTGTTCCATCTAATTATGAGATTGCTTATGTCTTTACCAAGGCATTAGATTAAACCAAATTCAATGGTTTTCTGAAAGAGATGGGTATGATAATACCAGATCATCAGTTCTTTCAAGAGACTTGTTCACTTTGATAGACGTATTTGAAAGAAACCTAGTTCCGATCTCGAAATCTTTTCATCTCGGAACTAATTTCTCTCGGAATACATAGAATCATTTTACTTTTTCTTTATTTTCGACCTTCACTTGAGTTTTTAAAGTTGTACAGTTCATCTTGATTGTTTGCTTTTCCAAGTCCACATTGTCGCCATATTTGATTGTCATCTCGGAATATACATCATAATGGCGTTCCGGAATTTAACTCCGGATAAGGTATTACATTCTGTGCTCCGGAATTTTTCAAAAATGCACTCTGGAATTGTCAAATGCACTCTGGAATTTTCAAAATGTGCTCCAGAATTTCAAAATCACTCCGGAAGGTTTCCCAATTTTCAACTCGGAATCCTTAAATCTCACAATTATGTTCTGGAACCATTTTCAAATCTACTCCGGAATTTCTTCAAAATTACCATTCAGGAATTTTCGAACATAAACTGAGTATCTACTCCGGGATTTTCAAACAAGTTAAACTTTTTCTCCTGAATCAAAATCCGCTCTGGAATATTTTCGCTTTACGGACCTCCTTTCAAAACAAGTATGGCCCGGAACTCAACTCTTTACCCTCCGGATCATACTCAGTCCGGAACAACTCATCTGGAATACCAAAGGATAATAAGGTGAAACATTTTCAGTCTCAACGGTTACTTTTTCTGATGATCCTATCCTATTCACCTTGATTGTCGTGACACGATTGCACGCCCTCATAAAAGTAGCCATCGAATCGTCGGTTCCGTTTTCCATTTCTAACCACACAAACCCTAACCTTACACCTCCCATGTCCAATCAACCACTCCTTCATTAAATAAGACCCATTTTATGTTCGGATCCTCATCATCACTTTTCTGACCCGGTCCATTTACCTTACCTATAAATACCCATTTAAAATCCTTTTTACCTCTTTACGCTCTCAAAACCCTCAATCTCCCAAATTCTCTCAACTGTTCTTCGTGTTCTTCAAGAACTCATAACCTGCAACAATGGCGTCTTCTCAAGAACCCACACCAACTGCTCAAATCCCAAAGAAGTCCATTTCAAAGAAGAAGTCTTCCAAACGCTCAAAAGGTTCCTCCTCCTCTGCCGATCAAGAACCATTATTGAGAGACACTACCTAGTTGGTCTCTCTCAACCCACTGGACTACGATGAATCAATCAAGGTTATGATTGAGTTCATCGCAAAACACCCTATCTCCGTTCCACTTACTAAAATCCCTGAACCTCCACTACCACTTCATCATCTTCATCGAGCTTTTACCAGTATCAGATTTGCAGATGGTAAATTGGAGATGACCATCATTGGAGATAGAACTGTTCCCATTTACAAATCGACCTTCCTTAACGTGATTGGTGTAAAAGCAAATCCCAAGGGTTTCAAAGTTGTTGAACCAACGTTTGAAGAGTTTCAGACGTTTCTAAACTACATTGGCTACACACAAGACTACAAGTCCAAGGATTTCAAGAAGTATTTTGTTTCCAGACTCTGGACTATTCTTATGCACCTCATTATCAGAGGGTTGTCCAGAAAGCATGGAGGAACGGACACCTTCAGCAAGGACTGGCTCAATGTTGTCTTCAGCATCTACTCCGGACGCGAGAATGTTGTTGATCTTCCAGAAGTCTTGTGGCAAGACTTCTGCAAGTTTGCTACCAAGAGTAAGCCGAATGAAATATCAAGCCTTAGGTTCTGGGTACTGACGCTCCAACAAGTATTCAAGGAGCTTTCGGAACCGCTTCCGGTTTACACCATCCCTCCGGAGGTATGTGTTACTTTTAAACTTGTAAAGGCCTATAGGATTCCTTACCAATCCTCATTTGGTCCAGTCAAACGCCTTCCGGACTATATGTTGGCCCTCAATCCTTCTGATTCCCTTTACATAAAACAACATCTAGAGACTTCGGTTATGTTCGACCCCAACATAACCTTCCCCTATCTTTGTTGAGCCTATTTCAGAATAGGCCAAAAAAAAACTACGTCCGGACCAAATATCTAGAAGCTAGAAAAGCGAAAGGCTTCTCCCACAAAGCCCATAACCAAAAATAAAGCCAAAGTCGGTACTTCCACTCAACAGGAAGGCACCCATGACATTCTGGCTGATTCTGGCCGTCTTCACACCCCACCTACCCAGTCATCTGAGGTGCCCCTTGATGTTTCAAAATCACAAGCACACACTCACGAGGAGTCTCTACATAATCCACCCTCACCCTCCCAAAAGGGTGATGTCGGTGTTGAACATTGTTCCTTGCAGCCTCCTAGAACAAACCCACGAGTCACCTTCGTTGATCCCATTATTTCTTCCACACACACACACACACTCCAGAACCCTTGTTCCGGACCCCAAGCTTTCCAGAGAAGGAGTAGTCCCTCTGACTTTGGAAGCCCTAACCGGTGTGATACCCGGAAGGAGTATAGGATGACCAGGTGCTAATGATCCACATTGGGAAGACTATGTTAATAGGGTCGCATCCAAATGTCTGGATCTCACTCGAGCTCAAGTGGATTCCATGCTCATTTCCATAAGGAACAGGGTTATCCAAAGCAACTTGCCCTATGTTCCTCCCACTGACGTCGATGTTATCAATGAGCTCACTTTGAAACTACCCCCCATTACTACTCATCAAATGTTCTCTACACTGATTTGGAAGAAGAAATCTCTGAAGAAATCATGTTGGATGAAGATGCAAAAACCCTTCCGGACACACATCTTATTAATTCAGTTCACTACCAATCAAAGGCATCCATAACTAAGTCTTCTTATGACTTCGGATCCTCATCCTCTACCACTCCGGATGGAGGTTCAAACTCCAAACTTCAAGAAGATGATGTTGCAACCAAACCGAGTCCTTCCACCAGTCCTTCATTCAACCAATCTCCTCCGCAACACTCAGATTCCAATTCGGAATCCTCTGCGGGCAACTATGTTGACCCCTTTGCTCTGCTTTAAATCTGCACCAATGTCTCTGACACCATGAAGAAAGTGTCATCCGTGGAGACATCCGTAACAGAGCTTAACACAAAACTGGATCAAAAAGTCTCTAGACTTGATTCCAAACTTGATGCCATTTTCCAGTCACTCTCCCAGCAGTCCAGACCTTCTACTACGGAACAGGAAGCTCAAATTGATCAGTTGATTTCCCTCCGGGTCAAGAGCACAATCGAGGAAGTTGAGACTAAATAAAATATCTATGTGGATCATTATCTCAACACCATCACTTCCATTTTCAAGGTTCATGATGACCTGGTCTCTATTACCAACGACCTCATCAAGAAGACCATGTTCGTCATGAGAATCGGATTCAAAGGCTGAAGCAGGAGATCCGGAAGAAGGATGAGATGAACATGATTATCCAACAAGTCCTCATCAAACTTCTTCGCTCAACTTGGAACATTGTTGATGTTTCGAACAGGAAGTTTGATGACATGATTGCTATCCTCAGCAGCACATTTAAACATCTCTCTCATCAAGCCCCCATTGCCGAAGCCTAAGACACTCTCTCTCTCTTTCTCTTCAACTTACCATAGGCCTTCAGAAATTCTTCTCCAAATTCGATGATCTGAAAGAGACTCTGTAGCTTGCACTGGTTTCAAAATTCACCTATGTAAGAGGGGAGAAGGCCCAAGCAAACCATGGAAACCCTCCTCAAAATT